CAGAATTATAGCCTTAAACTGCTTCATGCTGCAATCTTAGGCTAACCTACCCAACAGTAAATCCTAATCAATTTAACAGACCTTATTTCTGAGTAAGCTTCTGCGTGTTTTGTTCTAAATAACATTGCAACCGGACAACACAATCACATGCACCATTTCCTAGGATTAAATCATACCATACATAGTAGAAGTTAGTTCAACACATAGTTTTATGCTATTAATTGAGTAAACTGGTTTAAACGGAAGGACTAACATTTAATTGGTTTTTATGTACTTTTAAAAAACGTTTTCAGAATCAAGAGAATAAAACTATCGTTGTGCTCTATCGAGCACTGAACCTAACCAAAGAACTAACAAAGCGGCCTATATTTGGGTTGAGATTTTCACTGTCAAAACTAAATCATAACAATACATACGGAAGTTCAAAAAGCATGATACAAGTCTAAAAAAGCCTTCCCTTTTGTTTTGAAATAAACGCCTATTCAGAATAAAGCATATCTCTGCAAAAAAATAAAAGTGCACATTTAGCTTCTTCAACAGTCAATAATCAGTGCTATTTAAAATGTAATTATTAGCTTTTCATGTTCATGCTTTAATCATTAAATCAATCAACTACCAGTGGTATGTTAAAAATGGTTAGGTGAAATGAGAAAGTATTAATTTGTGGGACAAAGAATGAATTGTAGGCTCAATCTAAAATGAAAACAAAAACAATGATTAGCTTTCTAACAATAATCACAAAAATTATCTTGGTAACATGGGTAGGTAATCAATGTATTCTATAGCTGAAAGTTAAATAGCTAAATCATCTTAAATAATTTAACGTAGTGAAGGCCATCCAACTATTTATTATAGTTGTGTGTGTGTGTGTGTGGAGAGGGAGGGGGAGTAGGCAGCTTTTCTACCTGCAAGCCTGAAAAGGATAAAAGCAGCCCAAAACTTTCCTGCTCTTAACTTTTAAAAACATAGTATAAGCCTACTTTTAATCATCCATATTCTGAACTGTGAGGTGCAGTACTTGGCACAGAATGTCCTACCCAAGGCTGCCAAATACACAAATCCAAACTACCTCACCAGTTGTCTTGAGGAAACTAAATTAAGCAAAAGCAAACACAAAGTGGAAAATTGTCAGTCTGCTGGGATGAATGGCTTCATTTTATAAACTAACCAAAAATCTGAACATCAGAACATATTGCTGTCTGAAGTCAATAATTTGACCAACACCCTGATCCCAACCCCATTACGGGAAAAGTAAGCCTCGTTAATTCATACAGACCTTAAATCTATCTAAATATTCTTGAAATCATGGCCCGTAAGTCCCTGTGCTGTTTGGACAGAATTGAAACAAACTGTTATTAATTCCCACTTAGCTTTTCTATGAAAAAAATAACTTTCCCCAGCTAGACGTGCTCTATTTATTAAACCATAGACCTTTCACCATAAAACTCATAACTAGGTTATATATGATACACAAAATTTTAAGACCTTGTCAGAATGGTAACAGATAAGATCTGATGAGTGTTCAGTTAATGTTATTATTTGTAAGAAGTCAGACCAATATATTCAGTCACACACATACTAATACTAAAACTTTTACTGATGACGTATAGATCATATACACTGTAATGGTGAAACCATACTGTCGGGTTTGATCAATATTTTTCAGGAAGGAGGTGTCTTAGATTAGTTTTTGGATGGTCACAGTTATCCAATAATATGGTCATTTCTAAAAATGGTTCTATAAAGCAAGTGTCTTCAAACCTTAAGTATTAATTGGTCAATACAGCCTTCAGAATCAAAAACACAAGGCACTCCCTAAGAGCTTCAGTCAAAATGGAAAACAAATTTAAGAGTATGAATGCTGAAATCTAATGAACAGCTACTGTAAGAAGCATTTGTATAAGAAATGCTGTAGACATTTTTACTGTCTACATTAATAGAGCTAGACTATGCAAATAGTCAATACGCATACACATTCGTTATGGATATTTACATAGGAAATCTAGAATGTGAAAGAAGATTTATGAATGCTGCAGTCTTCTGAACACTATGGGGCCTAAAAACCCTAAAATCACCAGATCGTGTCTGATCTAGGAAGCTAAGTTGGGTCTACTCTGGTTAGCACTTGGATGGGAAACCACTACGCAATACCAGGTGCTGTAGACTATATCTCAGAGGAAAGAACTGGCAAAACCATCCCCTGAGTATTTGTATTCTTAGTAACCCTATTTCATAAGGTCGCCATAAGTCAATAGGTGGCTTGAAGTCAGTAGGCAGACATTGCACACACTTACTTTGGAATAGATTAATTGTCTCGGGGGGATTATTCCTGATAAAATCAGTAAGACTAGTGCTGCAAAAATGATAATTTACGTTTATAGTATGGAATCTTTGTAGTTATACTAAAAAGGCAAATTATTTTATAGATATATAAAATATACATACATAAATACATTCTGTATTTTCGAAAGCTCGACTGTGTTAGCATTACTGTTGTAAAGCATGCATCCAACTACTCCATAGACCTGATGATGCTAATGTGTACATTAAGTAATACATAAAATTAAAAACTGGCTAAATTCATTCACAGAGGCTTCAAACAGCAGGTTGTACAAGTGGCTACTTTGGGGAAGTAAGTGTGCCCTTCTTCAGACTAAATAACCCCCAGAACATTTCACTCCTCAAATGAAAATATACATATTGAGATCCAAATAGTTTCTATCCTAGTCCAAGAAATGGAGGCTGAAAACGAGAAGTTTGTCATAAACATGCATTAAGGTACGTGTATATAAACATTCAGACTCCATAAAAAGTGGGTTTATTTTCTTCATTACTTGCACGCATAATACTGAAAAGTATCACAGCGCATCGTAAACAAAATTCCCTCTTAAGTAACAGCTCAAGGCTTAATCGTATACGTTTTAAATCGTGAATATGGCACTCAAGATCAGAGTATTTACTTACCCAGCTGCATTATAGTCTAAACAGTAATGCATAATTTATAATGTACAGTTTAAACAATCTTACGCCTCTTTAAAAGAAGAAAACCCACTATGCCTTTTCTTAAAAGACAGAAGAAAACCTGAAGTCCTCCATTTGTTTGGATTAGCCATCTCTTACAAACTTTCACTACAGACTTAAAAAAAAAAAAGCCTCGCAAAATGTTGATATCATTTCCAGACGGTTTTGTCAGCATCACGATTTACAGGAAATAGTTGGTGTTCTCATGAAAGCCCTGCATTTATTCTCAGGAGCACGGGGACTTTAAAAAAAAGTTTTCTTAGCAGTCCACTTTTCCTAATATTTTGATTCTGTCACTCTGCTGAAATATTTGAAAAGCTTTTCTCGCCTAATGGATGCCCCTGTGCACATGAGGACAGGCACGGCCTTCTGTTAGAAAGAACTACTGTAAACTTTTATAGTTGTTCTTCTGTCATCGTAAGGAACTAACTCCTAAGGAACCACCAGTTAGCACTCATTTGCACTTCATATTTATAATGCTGGTTCATTTCCTACCTTACCAGAGTTACATTTTATAAAATACTTTTTTAAAAATCAAGAGATGTCAAGAGTACTGTTATTAAAGCATCCAACAGCAATACTGTGGGGCATGGTGGCATTAACAAAATAGGCTGCCAGCCTTCCTAAAATAAGATTTGTGAAAAAGTATGGCACAACACACCCCCAAAGTTCTTATACCCTATTATTATTATTATTATTATTATTATTATTATTATTATTATTATTACCTACTGTCATTAACAAGTAAAACGATCAATAGTATGGAAGAAATGCACATATTTACGCACACAATTTGATATCCATGTTCCTTTCTAATACCTTACTTGCCCTTTTTTCAATTCTATTTTCTCCAGTTTTGTTCCAAAACTTTGTCACCGGCAGCAGGGTGAATGCAGAGTCGATTCCTTATGATACGTCCCCATATTTACTTCATTATTTGGCCTATGATTTTTTTTCTCCTCTCTCTCAGTGATTTGGGTTTGACATTTGTGGGTGGGAAAGGGGCTTTATGAGCTTCTGATTCGTGTTAGTTCTTTAAAAATGAAAAAGAAACCTTATCTAACAAAGTCTTAAAAGTTCTTGAATGGCACCTTCTTTAGTAGAAGACGTTGTAGACACAACTAGCAACGCAAGCAAGACAACTTGTTGAAAAAGTATCAAGAAGTTAGAGGGAAATTTCTCCTGATTTACAAGAGCACAGTCCTAGAAAGTTGTATGAAGTTTTCCTTTAAGATCAAAGGCAGAGATGGGGAGGACTCATGGAGCCATAATAACAACAACAACTCCCCCCCCCCTTGCTTATTTTTTATAATAGCAAAACCTTCCCAACCACCATTATGGATCACAAGTTACAATTAAGTACAATCCAATCTTCCATTCTTAAAGAATTAGGAAGTTTACACCTCTTCATTCATTCAGTTTCTTAAGGGGGGGGGCACACAAGGAAGCCTGTCACACACATCCATAATCCAAGCAAGTATTTTGCAAAGATGGGGTGGGGGGAGAGAAAAGTCACTGGATGCTCAATAAAGCAACACCTTCCCAACCACCATTATGGATCAGTCACAAGTTACGATTAAGGAGTATCCAATCTTCCCTTCTTAAAGAATTAGGAAGTTTCCATCTCTTCATTTATTCAGTTCCTTAAGGGAGGGGGGACGACAAAGAAACCTGTCACACGCATCCATAATCCAAGCAAGTTTTTTACAAAGATGGGGGGAGGGAGAGAAAAGTCACTGAACACTCAATAAAGTAACTTATTGCAAACCTGTGCACAAGGTCCTGGCCTTTTCGAAGAACTTCCTAACTCCTTTTAAAAGAAGCAAGCCAAACCAAAGTGTCACATTTTGGGGAGAAAAGAGACCAGGATGAAAAATCCCACCCTGATCTAAAGAGTGATATATTCAACACCTTTCTCTAGAAGTTAAACAGAAAACTACCCAAAGTCTCCTTTCAACAAGAGGGGGGAAGAAACTTACTACTTTCTCATGATGATCTCCCATCCGAGCCCCGACTTTTGGCCACCGTCCCCATTCTTTTCAAAAGATGGGTAAAAAACTGAAAAAGTGCGAAAACTCTAGGATGTTTGAGCAAAATTAAAAGGGGGAAGGGCTTAAGTGGGGTATCCCACATTATGTGAGGTATCCCACATGAAGGATGCAATATTTACCAAGGCAAAAAACAAAACAAAAAGGCAACCCAATAAGGTGGAAAAAAGCAGAGTGCCCCCCTTCCTCTTTTACACACTTTCCCCCTGTAAAGAGGAGAGTGAAATCAAAGCTTAACCCACAAAAAAAAGGAGGGGACTCAGGGGAGGAGAGTCAGGAAAGACACCAGTAGCTTCCAAAGTTGTCTTTTCTTGGTTTTGGAGGATGGGAAGGGTTTGGGGAAAGAGGGGGGGTCCAAGGGGGAAGGGTTTCCCTTTGGCTGCTGAACTTGACCCCTGCTGACTCCTCTCTCTCCAAAGAAGGCCTCCTGCAAGTTTTTTCTTTCGGCCAAGTCTCTCATTATTATTATTATTTTGTGTGTGCTGCAGATCAACACATGTTTTTGACCCCATTACAAAATAAAATAAAAACACAGATTGGAGGAAAATGGGGAGAAGGAAGAGGAAGAGGAGGAGAATAAGATTGTATTATATTTTATATATATTTTAAAGAACCCATTAAAACACATCCTTTAGGAAACTGGAGCTCTTTGCTTTGCCTCCTTTGCAAAGCAACACACAAACTCCCCTCTTTTCTCCAAAAAAATCCCTAAATCAAAGCACAGACATACACAAAACCAAAACACTGCTTTCTTATGATAGACATATTATTTGAGGAGTGGGGGGATATAATAATACCAAAATACACATCCAAGAGAGCAAAAAGCCAGGAAGGTGTTAAGTGCTAGCCACCAACAGCCCTCTCCTCTCCATGGATCACAACCCCATTTCTCTTCCCCCCCCCCCTTTGAATTGCAGCCCCCTCCCCCTCCCT